AACAAGGGGCCGTTTGGCGTGCGCATGCGCCAGTCTGTTGAAAATTCATTGAAATTCATTAGTGATTCACTTCAAGCGAGAAATTACAACGACACGAAGGACAATTTCCAAAAATGTTTTTGGCTGTTTTTGACCCTGAAATGTTCTGTCATGACTCAAGAACACTCATAAATAGTGTAACCTACAACGAGGAAAAACACTGGCGTTATTGGACTGATTGGGACCGTTTAAAATCTTATTTAAGAAATGTTGATATTAATGACTTTGTGTTTACAATATGGAGGCTGCAGTGGTTTATATACGCAACTACTATTCCAGTTTTTGCTGAGTGCTGGTCAAGATTCAACGCAGGTCATGAAGTAAATGGTAAATGTACACATGTAGTAATATAATTAGGCATCGTTTAGTAACATCGACCTCGAAATGTTCGAAAGACAGTTTCTTGAAGTGTACAATATTTACGCTTAAATATTATTAACTGTTACATGAAATACTACTTTCCTTTTATATACCACCAGGACTCATTAGAATAAGGCTACCAATATCAAGACTTATGCTTTGCAAATGTTTTGATAATGTTTTCTTGTCTATGAAAAATGTGGAACGGTGTTAATTCTGCAAATTCTTACGTGCTGTTGAGCACTCACGACAGATTTAGCATTCTTTTGGCTGAAGAGTTGAGCTTGTTTGAATCAAGTTATCATAAATATCTATGTGTAGTTCTATAGCTGTATCATTATAAGTTATGAAATAAACTATTGCAGAGCAATCGATTCACATCTTAGGAATTTATTATTGCTAAAGGTGTGTACAAATAATTCACTACATTTTAACGGTACAAAGTGGCTTCGTGTTATAAATCTAGCCCGAGACTCACAGTAATTTATATAAAGTTTGAAAGATATTCGTGTGCATTGTAAATATATCTACTTGGTTTTGTTTGGAAAAATGTGGAAGATAAGTAAAAACATCAATTATATTCAGAATCGAAGCTTCCGCAGCTACTACAATGTTATTCTACCCGGCGTATTCTAGAGCCCATGGTCGTTATAACGCAGCGGTTGCGCGCATGCTCATGCATAACGGCCTCTTGTTTTCAAAGGACTATTTAGTCATTGTAGTTTGTATGCAAATAGTGCATTTGGAAGCCTCTTTGTGTTTTCTTTAAAATCTTCCTTGGCACTTTGCACTAATTCTTAGTACTCATGAATGTTGAAAATCTACTTTTTTCAATGCTAGAGACATCTTACTTCACATGTTACTAGATCTAAATTTGTGTTAAAAACTGTTGGGGAAAAGTTCAGCAGGTCTCCTTCCCATACGTTACCATGGTCACCCTACGCGTATTTACGCGTCATACTGACAACGGCTGCGAATAGTCTCCTTCACGGATACCTGCGCCATCTTGAAAGGTAGCCGTGCCTTTGCACCGAAGCGAGACAACCGTTGAGCGAGCAATGATAGATACCTGTGAATAATTGTCTATAGGTGTGAAAGAAGG